GTGTGTGTGTGTGTGTGTGTGTATGTGTGTGTGTGTGTGTGTGTGTGTGTGTGTATAAATGTAATGTTTTCTACTAGCAAGTCATACATAGTATTTTCATGTTTCAGGCACTTATAAAAACATCAGTAATAAGCCTTAATGTATTAGACCAGCTGAACTGAGAAAAAAAAAATCTGCGAAGTATAGAACTCCAGGGCCTTTTCTAACTCTAGGACTGATCTTCATTACTACAAATGGCCTTTAAGATTTTATATTTAAAGTAAATGTTTTTATACTTTTAAGTTATTTAGTTTTACAGATGGGTTATTCAAGCATTGCCCCTAAGTTTTGAAATGTTTTAAATAAATTACTACATGTATGCCATGCCAGCTATTAACCAAAAGAACATTAATTTTCCAGAATCTATGGGCACAGAAAGCAGTTTCCTGAAAAATTTTACACACACACACACACACACACACACACACACACACACACACACTCCAACATATTATACAAGAGTGCAAGAGTAATAATACTATATACCTTTTAAACAACTAATTATACTATAATGTGACACAAAAAGAAGTGATAATGCATTATCATTATATAGTGTACCAGAGAAAAGGCATTCTCACATAGCAAAATTACGTCTAGTATGTCCAAAAGATATAGATATAGAAAATATTTTTGAAAGTTCTTTTTCATATGAAGTCATATTTGTAGGTAATACCTGCCCCTAAGTAACAGAATTATTAAAACTTTAGCAGTTGGGTCTGGGCATTGTGGCTCATGCTTGTAATCCCAGCACTTTGGGAGGCTGAGGTGGGAGAATCACTTAAGACCAAGAGTTTGAGAACATCCTGGGAAATATAGTGAGACCCCTCTCTACAAAATAAATAAATAAATTAGCTGGGCATGATGGTTGGTTCCTATAGTCCCAGCTACTCAGGAGACTGAGATAGAAGGATCACCTGGGTCCAGGAGGTTGAGACTGTGGTGAGCCATGATCGTGCCACTGCACTCTGGCCTGGATGATAGAGTGAGACCTGACT